CACACACACACACTTTTTTTAAAAAAGTGTCAGGAAAAGTCCTATGTTTTTTGTCCTATAAAATAAGTCCCATCTGTGAGAGACGTGGGGAAGAGGTTCAGGTGAGCAGGGATGGGAGGAACTGTTTAGGGAATTGGCCCATAGTGCCTCTGTGTGTGACAAAGAGTGAGGGAGTGAAAGAGAAATAGGACAATACTTTCAGAGTTGTCATTCTATATATTAAACAGGCCTGGAAACTGTCCGTTGCCAAAAAGTACATTTTACTGACCTTGTACCTTAGCTGTCCTTCAACAAGTCTCTGTCATTTTTTTCAACATAATGCTCTCATAGAATGTGATTTTCTGGTTTATTTGGATAAGTTTTCACGCCCAGCAGCCCATTTCGTGAATCTGATCTCTGATGCAGAGGGCTGCTGTCCTGCCAAAGCTTGTGCCAAATTAAACTTGCTAGTCCTTAAGGTGCCACGAGAGTCTTTCCCCATTTTGCTAACATGGCCACCCCACTGTTAAATTTCTGCTTTGCCTTTCTAGTGGCAGCCCCCATCTGCTTGGCTCCCCATCCCTTCTTGCTCTCCTTGCACTCCTCCCACTCCCCCCCCTTTGCCTCTTCTTGCTCTTATTATTGGGGGTGGGGAAAGAGGTAAAACATATGTTTCCAGCTGCTGCTTTCCCCCTATGCCCACCCTGAATAAAGAGCAAGCTCTTTCCAGCTTCATTCAAGTTCTTTAATGTGATATTTTTACACAGTTGCCATAGTTACAGTACCATGATTATTCAACTAAATTATTGCAGGGGCCCTTTTGCAAGGAATTGCATGAGAAGAAATCTGATCTTACAGGATGTTGTTCATGCTCTGAAAACCCAAAGTGCTTGAGATCTAAACGATACTGGGAGTGAGTGTTGACTTAGGGACTCACTTGATGCCGTTGTAATACAGTTGTGCTGTTGACCGTGGGCATATAGTCCCAAAGCATGGAGTGGGCTTCAGAAGTCTATAGCATTAGTCCTGGAAAATGGCAGAACACGGTTACTCATTTTGTCACTTTTGTTTTGCATGCTGTTATGCACAGCAAAGAAATGGTTCCCTTCCTCTTGCTATTTTCCTTTTTAAAGGTGAGAGGAAAGATGAATATCCTGGATCTTTGTTGTTAATGGCTTAAGGTACTGTGATGGTACATATTTTTAGGATGTTGGAAGGGACAAGAAGCTTCCTAGGGTCTGTGTTTGATACAGAATGTACAAGTTTTAATCCCTGGCATTTCCAGGTAGGCCTGGGAAACAGCCTATGATCTAAAACTTCCAGTCAGTGTAAATCAGCCCCCACATCCCAAACCCTATGCCCTTCAAATAGTTAAGACTACAGTTCCCAGAAGGTCCAGCCAACATGGCTAGTGCTCAGAAATGATAGTTGCCGTAGTCCAGTATACCAGGAAGGCAGCATCTTAACGAAGATTTCTACAAATAGTATTAAGCTAGATGGCCCAGTGTTCAAAATATGATTTGAACAGCATCTCTGATTAATTTAAAGTTCATATAAAGAAAAGATTTGCATTATTAAATGCCACCAGCCATGAACCAGAAGAAATTTGGATTGAAATCAGAGATATTATCAAGGAACAAAGCAAAAAAAGCAGTTGCTTTGGTCAAAGCCTAGATGGGTGATTGATGAAACTTAAAATTGTCAAGGACAGGCAAGAAGTAAGAGTAAGAGGTGACAGAAATAGGTTCAGAATCCTCAATGCACTGTTTTGGCAACTGACACATAAAGGCAAAGAAATATAATAATCTATGCAAAGAAATAGAAAAGAACAAAAGAGGAGAAACAAGAGATCTCTTCCTTAAAATCCAAGAAATCAAACAGAAACTTCAATCTAGAATAGAGGTGCTGGAGGATCAACAGGGGAACATTATCTGATCAGGATAAAACGCAGAAGATAGGGGAAATATACTAAAGAATTGTAAGAGATGCAAGAATTACATGTGAAAAAGATTCTGCAGTTTTTGAACTACAGTGGTGCCCCGCTTGACGACGATAATCCGTTCCGTTAAAATCGCTGTTAAGCAATATCGTCGTCAAGTGAAAGAAAAAAAACCAATTGAAATGCATTGAAAACCGGTTCAGTGTGTTCCAATGGGTGAAATACCTCATCGTCCAGCGAAGATCCTCCATAGGGAAAGCCATTTTCGGTCGTTGTCTTCTGGAAATAGGTCCGGAAAACAGCGGGCAGCCATTTTGAGAAACCGACGATCAGCTGTTTATGATCATTGTAATGCGAAGAATCGGTTCCCAAAGCAGGGAACCGATCATCGTAAAACAGATTTGCCCCATTCAATCATCATGTTGTGATCACAATAGCGATCACAAAACCTTATCTTGAAGCGAGTTCGTCGTGGAGCGGGGTAATCGTCAAGCGAGGCACCACTGTATTTCAAACTATCAAAATCCTAATAGAAAAGGGGCCACCATATATAGAAAACAAAACAATGGCCCACAGACTGGAAACATTCAATATACACTCCAATCCCCAAGAAAGGAGATGCCAAGGAGCGAAGTAACCATAAGGCCATTGTATTAATTTCCCATGTAAGGAAACTGATGCTCAGGCATTTGCAACAAAGACTTTCACCATATATGGAGTGAGAAATGCCTGATGTTCAGGCTGGATTCAGAAAAAGGGAGAGGCATTAAGAGGTCATATGGCAAATATATGTTGACTACTGGATCATATGAAATAATTTCAGAATTTACCCTTCGCTCTGTAGATTACAGCAAACTCTGTGACTGGGTGCATCACAAAAAGCAATGGATTTTTTAAAAATTAAAATGGCAGTGCCTCAGCATTTGATTGTCCTGATACATAACCTGTTGTCTAGACGAGAAGTTACTGGTAGAATATGGAGAAACAATGGTTTCACATTAGAAAGAAAAAGGTTCATTTATCTCCCCATCTATTCAATCTGTATGCAGAACATATACAGAAAATTGGACCAAACTTGACTGAAGAAGGAATGAAATTGCTGGAATAAGTATCAAAAACCTAATATTTGCAAGTAATACCATATTACTGGCAGTAAACAGCAATGACTTGAAAGAACACCTGGTGGAGGTAAAGGAAGAAAGTGGAAAATTAAAACTGCAGTTGAATATCAAAGAGACAACAATCATGTCTACAGAAGCATTATATAACTTTATTGTTGCCAGTAAAGAAATCAGAATTGTTAAAGATTTTTTGTACATTACATTGATGTTATAATTAGAGACGGGGATATTTGTGGACAAATATGAATGCCCCCGTACAGCTGGAGTTGAGGGTCCGGCCCCTAGGGCAAGACCATCCACTTGTGCGTCTGCCACCGCCAGCAGCCCCACTTTTCTTTCCCAGTCGGCTAGACACTCGCCAGCCTTGCAGGGAGACTCGTCTTTCCTCCTGCCAGGAGTGGCTAGCCAGCCAGGCACTCCGGAGCGACTGGAAGGAAGAGCAGGGCCAGTGGTGGATGTGTGAGTGGACGGTCCGTCCCACCCTTGTTAACTCCAGCTGTGCCGGGGTATTTGTATACGAATTTGAACACTTCCATCTCTAGTTATAATCAATCCAAATACAGATGTCACCAAAGAAATCAGAAGATACTTGAGGAATGGCATTGCCAGTTCCACTCTCCCAGTGAGTTTCCATGGCTCAGTGGGGATTTGAACCAAGCCCTAGTCTGTCACTCTATCCACTACACCATACCGGGCTTGATTTGATTTAGAACCCACTTGTTTGTCTTCCTTGTGATCCATAGAACATATAAAGCTTTATTTCAACACTGCATTTCAAATGAATCATTTTTCCCCTATTTATATTTCATATCCATGTATAGTAACAGGACAAAATATATATAGGGAAAGCCCCTCCCAAACCAAAATGACTAGAATATGGAGATATTCCCCCTGCTTGCTTGAGATCTTTTCTTTGAGTTCAATGCAGCAATAGACAGGGAGCAAAAATAATTTGCCTCAATATGGGGAAAAATCTCCCCATCAAAGGAAACAGGAAAGGATTGAGAGGGAGACAGAATCATAGAATCATAAAAAAGCGAAGTTGGAAGGGGCCTACAAGGCCATCGTCCAGCCCCCTGCTGCTCAAGGCGGGAAGATAGGCAGCACAAGGTGGAGAGCACATGGAAGGAACTTCCTTACCCACAAGGAAGAAGCGAAGTGGAATAAAGAAAGTGCTCCCACTGGGTTCCAGCCAGTCAAGGCCTTTTAACAGCTACAAAATTCCTGCTCCCCCTTTCTGGATGTTCTGATTGGCTGCTGACAGCAGCCCTCGCAACACTATTTGATGGCAAATCTCCTGGGCATTTTGATAGACACTGAGTGAAAGAAAGGCGAAACAAAGGGGAGAGATGGGAAAAATACAGTGGTGCCCCGCATAGCGAGGTTAATCCGTTCCGGATTAACCCTCGCTATGAGGAAACATCGCTAAACGGGATGCAAAATGCCATTGGAACGCATTAAACTTAGTTTAATGCATTCCAATGGCTTCTATACTCACCGTTAAGCGAAGTTTCCTCATAGCGCTGCCATTTTCGCGTCCTCGGTAAGCGAGGGCAGGGCGCGAAAATGGTTGCGGTGGCCATTTTGGGTCATCCGGCGGCCATTTTGGAGCCGCCGAACAGCTGATTTCCTGGCGTTGCAATGCGAAGATCGGTAAGTGAAACACTTACCGATCTTCGCAATGCGAGTTTTGGCCATAGAGGCCATCGGTAAGCGATCGCATTAGCGATCTCAAAAAAGAGATCGCTGTGCGATTTCGTCGTTATACGGTGCGCTCATTAAGCGAGGCTCCACTACTGAAATTTTCATATATCCTTTGTTAAAATGAATTGTTGGATTTTAACAGGCTGTTTTCCATGTATCAAGGAAAAGAGACCAAAAATGTGAAAAAAGCCTCTTCAGTGTTTTTTCCCCTTTGTTTTCAAACAAAAGTCCTATCTCTACTCAGTCGTCCCCTCACTTGATCTTTTCTTAACAAAACACTCAAAATAATATGAAGTTGCAGGTTTTAAAGTGCAGATCCAGGATGGTTTATCTTTGCAAGAGTACAGTGGTGCCTCGCTTAGCGATGTTAATTCGTTCTGAAAAATCTCTGCTAAGCAATAACATCGCTAAGCGAAATAAAAAAGCCCATAGAAACACATTAAAACGCGATTAATGCGTTCCTATGGGCTTAAAACTCACCTTTGAGCGAAAATCCTCCATAGTGCCACCATTTTCGGTGCCTCTAAAGCGAGGAATCCGTGCCTGAAAACAGCGGGCGGCCATTTTGTTTACCTGGTGGCCATTTTGAAATCGCCGATCAGCTGGCCGAAAATGGAGGCTTTGCGATGATCGCTTCCCTGTGATCATCGCAAAGCGAAAATAGCCCATAGGGACCATCGCAAAGCAAAGCAATTTCGTCGCTAAACGGAGTGATCGCTATGCAAGGCACCACTGTAGCTCCATCAATTGTCTTTCATGCTCTGTTGTAAAGTATTCTTTAAATGTAGGACTGGCACGTTGCTAAAATGAACAGATTCAGAAAAATGTCATGTATGCATCCTGTACTTGCCTTATGATCAGACTTCTACTAAGCGATGTTGCTATTTATGTTTGTTTGACTTTGTAATTTTATCAATAAACCACTTCAAGGGGCAAAAGGGAAGTACAATACAAATACATTTAAATTAAATAAATACACACTATGTGCATAAAAATAAAGTGTTTGCCTGAGTATCTTAAAGGTGCACAGTAGAATTAAAGACATACTGATGTCTGTCAGGTCACAGACAGCCCTGTCCTGCTCTTACCCTGGAGAAACTCACTAGGGGACCAAAGACCATATCTCCAGAACTGAACAAGGGGGTCCTGGAAAGAGAAGCAGCAAGACATGCTGTGTCCCTGTTGCATCTGCTACCACAAGGGCTGGGGCAGGACATGAAGCAGTGCAGCCCCCAAAGGCCAAATAAGCTCATTGCACTACCTCCCATTGCCCAAGACCAGATGGAGGAAGAAAGGGCAGGGGAGATGTGGCGACTTGCCCAGGGGATAGAAACAACTCTCAGACAGACAAGGTGGGGACCAATGGAAGGAGAGAGAAGGGCCTCCAGACCTATGGGAGCAGTGAACCCTTGGAACTGGGAAGCACAGCAGTGGGACATGTTGCAGGAGTAAAAGACTATCAGTGTCCCTGCCTCAGCCCTGGGTGTTTCTGTCTCAGTCCTAGCAGCTGCTTGAAAGAAAGAGGTGGTTGCAGGTGGGCCACAGGACACACACTCCCTCGATTAGTGGGAGAAACATGAGGTGGACACCACTGAGAAGGAATTGCAGCTAGTGATCAAGTGGCCTCCAGGGGGGAGAGGGATGACTGAGAATCTGCACAGACATACAAGGATGCGGAACATTTACCTGTACTTGGCTATTACTTGTTCTGACGACTACTGGCTCACAGCACTCACCCAGCTCTACTAAGTTCCAGCAAATTGTATTAAAGATCATAAAGGAAAGGCCTGGGCATGAGGGCTGCGGGTACTTACGTGATACCTTGCCTGGAAGCATGACAGTACGTGTGTATAGCAACGTAGTCCAAATTCCAGCCACGTCCCTCCAGATAAAGGAGACAGAAAAGGTCTTCCCATTTTCACTGAGATGAATTTGATATGTGTTGAATTACGGAAGAATGGAGAGCCTACTTTGTTTCCCTCTTCTACTTACAGCAGGAGTTTGGACTTGTTGACCCTCCAGGTGTGGATGAAATACTATTCCATGCAAGCCACACCACTGGCCAGGCTGACTAGATTTGACTGAAAATAGAGTTCAACCCTTCCACAGCACTACCTTACACAACCTCCTGTTTGCCACAGCACCAAGCCAGACCCCGTGGGGACCAGCTTCTGCTTAAAATTGTTTATAATTTTGTTTCCATTGTGTTTCTGTCAGTAGAGAGATAAGAAAACCTCATAGAATTTACTTGAGCAGCTGCATAGAGATTAAGTGAAGTGTTTGTTAATTTTCTCTCCTTTTTATTTCAGACTGAAAACATGGCTATTAGGTACGTGTCTGGAAAGAAAAAAAGCTGATTCCCTCTCTTGAGCCTCTTATCTCACCTCTACTACAGCAGAATGTTTCGGGCCTTTTCTCCCCCTTTGAGCTGGGACTAAGGAGAGTATTACCACTATAGCATTTAAAACATGAGAAATAAACAATTTGGAGAGAAACTAGCAAGTAGCTTAAGTGAGAGATGTGAATTGTTCTGTTCTGTTGCCTTATGAGCCCTGGGTACTGCAGCATACAGAGATGTGCTGTTTGGAAGGCTGGTTGAGCTGTAAAACTGATGGTACTGATAAGGAAGCCTAGGAATAAATGGTTTTTGTGGATTCTCCTGTACTTTTTTTTCCCCAAGACACTCAAAGAGCTTTGGCGCTCTAAAAGGGCTTAAGACAGGTCTGCAAATTCTGCAAGTCACCAGCCTCAATGCAAGTCACTTCCTATGTGTTGTCGTCTGCTACATATTTTACAGCATTCCTGTTTTTGTAGTCCTGAGCTACAGGACTAGGTGACCTTGGTGAGCCACCAGGCTGGCGGATGGCTTGCCTGAAGCCATCTTTGCCCTTTTGAATGGCAGAGCTGCCAAAACTGCTCTGTCTGAATCCAAGGCAGTTCATGAGATGGGAGGGTGCTCTTTGATGGGAGGCTTTCCAGGTGGTGCTTGGATGAATAGGGGTGGGGGAACCCTGTGAGTGTATTTTTTTTTAATGAAAACTTTGTAAGATGTAAAGTTAAGAGGAATTACAGTAGAAGCTAAATTTATTGTTGCCCACTTGCAGTACTGTGAAAAAGCTCTGACATGGTTGAAGCAAGGTGCAATGAATTGGTCACTCACGTAACCACTTAATGACCCTTTCTTTTGAAAGTGCCATCATCCTCTGTAGCACTGAAAGGTCATTGTTTAAGCACAGAGCTGAAGAATACTTTGAGTGCAGTAAATGTGTTACAGCACATTAGAAAGAAAATGTCTCAAACATTTCTTTCCTGTTGTGGTTCATTGTGAAGCCCTGGCATTTCTTAATCTGAATCCTCTTTTGCTTGTGCTTTTCTCTTTGTCTCAGGCCAGCAGTACAAGTGGAGGCATTGAGTGGTTTTAGCACAGAGCGCCACAGGGACCTGTATGATGGGCCCCTGCAGTACATATTTTGGAGAAGAATGCTGAAATCCATCAGCCCAGGTGAGTTTCTTCTTTGCAGTAGGCCTGGGGATAAAGGGCCAGAGGAGAGTGTGAATCTCAGGAACGCTTTGCAAGACCCTATCTATAGGTAATGTGTTCTCTTCCTGACAGTTCCTGCCCCTTTGACCTTGGACCCAGAAACAGCCCACCCAAATCTCATCCTTTCCAACGACCTGACAGCGGTGACAGAGAGTGAGAAGCGCCAGCCCGTGCCCAGAAGCCCTAGCCGGTTCTTGCAGAGTGTGAATGTGCTGGGGAAGACAGCCTTTGAGAGCGGGAGGCATTACTGGGAGGTCTGGGTGGGCAACAAGACCAAGTGGGATCTGGGGGTGGCAGCGGACTCTGTGGACCGGACAGCCAGAGTCAAGCTGTGTCCAGAGAATGGCTACTGGGCTGTACGGCTGCGAGAACCTGCTCAGTATTGGGCCGCAGCCACTCCTTGGGTGCGCCTGGAGCCTCGCCGTTCATTGAAGAAAGTTGGGATCCTGTTGGACTGTGGGGCAAATAAGGTAGCTTTCTATGACGCTGAGGACATGTCCTTTCTCTTCGCCTTTCACCAGGTCAGGGCATGCAAGTTCTATCCTTTCTTCAGCACTTGTCTCAGCAGTGGCAAGAAGAATGCAGAACCCATAAGGATCTGCCGTCTGAACCTGTAAGAATGCAGCGGATTGCATCCGACTGCCTTGAGCAGGATACTGGATCCCTTCCTGAGTGCCTGCAATTGCAGCCTTTGCAATCTGCTCTCAGCGCCATTAACAAGGAACATTTGCTTGCATATGTATCTCCACTGGTTCCTCTTTGCCTCTGTGCTTATGGGGCATGCAGTACTTATGTCATAGAGTCCATCCTGCAGATCCCAGCTAAAACTGGGAATTTAAAGGGGAATTTACAAATTTTGTGCCAAGAGATTATTCCTCTGAGATGAGAAGATAAGCACTCTTAGGGTTTTATTTCATAGGACCAATACGTCTCAGATATGCTTTGACCAAAGAAAGTGACAAACATGGTACGAGCAATAAAAATAAGAAGGCTGATTGTTAAAAGAAATTATCAAAACCCTAATACATATTTTTAACTGTGAGAGTATTTCTTTTTCCCCACCCCCTCCGATGCCTTCTGCTTGGTAGCCATTTTTTAGTATACAGAAGAGCCGTGTAATTTATGACTCGCTGTGTGGTCATTTCATTCAGCTGCATGAGAAAGATACGTGGCCCAAATAAGTATAATGATGAGCCTTTCGTGCATAGCTAGGCAAACCCTAGGGTGGGAGATGCACAGTCCACCACCAGGACCATGGCTGAAGCTGTGGTAGAACCTGCTAGGACTTCCGTCATCACCTTTGGGAGACCAGGGTTGCCCCTGTGCTAGGCAACAGAGTAGAATTTAATGGAGGAAGGCTTAAATATTCCTGGGAAATGCTCAGTGCTTTACAAGAGAAAGTCCATTCTAGTGGAAGAACTATCCTACAGTGATAAAACTGCTGAAAGAAAAGATTACAAAAGTATCCAATAGCTAGAAGATCTGGCACAGAAGTATGTGTATTATTTGTCAGAGGACTTGTCTTCCAATGATCCTACGTGCAAGGCTGTACAGTCAACAGTTTGTTTTCATTACAATAAAATGTATATTTTACATTATCACATTAAAAATGCTTATCTCTACCCGTTCACAGTCTGCCAGTCTGTTTCCACTGTTTTTGCAGCCCTGCGGAATATGCTTGATAAATCATTCTTTCCTCTAATGTTGACATTAAAGAATTTCTTCATAGGAGCAATGGAATTTCCTTCTCTGAAAGTGTTGTTTTCTCAGAGTTCCTGTTCATGAGGTGGGTCCCCAGTTTGCCAGCAGAGGGCTCTGTCTGCTAACAAAACCTCATGGACTGAAGGCATGGATGCTCAGCAGTTGGTACATGTTTGTCATTTTTGGCATGGCACCACCCCTACCTAGTTGTTTGCAAGATTGGACTACTACGTAACTGCCTTTCTTTATCAGGTTCAGTGGATAGACAAGGAAACCTGAATAATGCAATGGCTTTTCCCCTCTGAGTGATACTGAAAAGTCTGATTGGCTTGCTCTTCCATGTTTTTATGTACAGCAGCACTTGCTGCCTTTGTTGCTTCCCCACCTGTTCCTCTTTTTAAAGGACTCACTAGGCAACGTCTTGTTGATTCTATGTGTAGAAGAAGTTCACCCTTAAGAGAAAAAAATTGTAATGCAAGCTTATATCCATACATGCATGGCAAGTGTCTGAGGTACATAGCAGTGGAAGGTTTGCATGTCTGGAGGGATGATGTGGTAAGAAAAGGAAATGCACATTTGTCTTAACATATGACCTTACCCTTAGTCTTCCTTTCATGGTATGTTTGTTCTGGATGTAACACTATGGCAGAAAGACAGGCCAGTGAACCAGGAAATTGCTTGGTCAGTGTCATCTTGCACCATAAGCTCACCAGAAAACGTTTTGTTTTTTGTTTTTTAGACAGAGGAAATGTTTTGGGTTTAGAAAGGAGATGCCTGGAGAACATTGAGCCTCCATCTGCCTTTGGAACCACAATCTAACCAGGTTCAGCATTTCTGCTGCTGGTGCTAGAATTAGTTAATAAACTGACTTGTATTCCACACATGTAAAAGTTACTGTGATAAAACATGTGCAATCCTTTGAATGCTCTTCAGCTGCCCTGTGGACAAAGAGGGAAGTATGATACAGAAAGGTTTGTCACTATACTTGTCCTTGCCCTCACAGCAGTAACAGCTGGAGATTGTTGTGGACATTTAAGGTAGGCAGGCACGTTGGGCAGAAAGAATGTGATTTCTATGTTCTTGTTTTTCTTAATGTCATCAATTCACCTCTGACTTACGAGATTGTTGTGGACATTTAAGGTAGGCAGGGACGTTGGGCAGAAAGAATGTGACTTCTATGTTCTTGTTTTGTTGTTACATGTCATCAATTCACCTCTGACTTACAGCAGCCCTGTGAATGACAAATCTCCAAACCAGATATTTGTACTTGTTCTTTGCTTTTCCCCTGTAGCTAATTGAGGGCTTTCTAATCTGGGAGTCTCATCTTCCAGCACTATCTCTTGTTTCATTTTGGATTGTGTCATCCTAGAATTTTTGTGGTATACAAAGTTCTGCAGGAGTTTGCTTTTCCCACCTTAGATCATTTTGGATTGTCTCATCATAGAATTTTTGTGGTATAGAAAGTTCAGCAGGAGTTTGCTGTTCCCACCTTAGACAAAGTACTAACAAAAGTTAGTTTGAGTGTCACCACTATTGTCTCTTCTGCTAGTATCACTTTCAGCAACAGGTGCTGCCCAGTAGCTGCCTTCCCTGTTTCTACATCCCCATCACCTTTGGAACTATCAGTTCTTTTCTGCTGATGGGGCCATTACTCTTGAAGAGTGTGGATGCTTAGCTGTAACCATTCTGCCTTGGGCAAACCAGCTAGGAGTTGATGTTGTTTAATTGTTAAGTCATATCCGACTCTTCGTGACCCATGGAGCAGAGCACACCAGGCCCTTCTATCTTCCACTGCCTCCCAGAGTTTGGTCAAATTCATGTTGGTAGCTGCGGTGACACTGTCCAACTATCTTGTCCTCTGTCATCCCTTTCTCCTCTTGCCTTCACACTTTCTCAACATCAGGGTCTTTTCCAGAGAGTCGAGTCTTATGAGGTGGCCAAAGTATTGGAGCCTCAGCTTCAGGATCTGTCCTTCCAGTGAGCACTCAGGGTTGATTTCCTTT